CCAACAGCACACCCATTAAAGAGAGTCCCAGGACACTCAGGGCAATTATCATCCTTGTTCCCTTTTCAGTAGTAGAAAGAGAAGGCAGAAGACAGAACAAAAGAACAGAAGCAGATTCAGTCAGACCTGGACACAAGCAAATGTGTCCTGGGTTCTCTAACTGCAGAGCAGGGAAATCCTTACCCCATGGTTGCTGTGAAGGTGGCAGCAGTTCTCTGGGTTCTCACCAGGACAGGCTCCTCAGAATCCTGTCTTCTAACTCTGCTGTCTTGTGGACTTGCACACCAACTGGACTCTCAGAGAAGGGCTGGGAGACAGCTCTGTGAGCTGTGGTGTGTGTGTGTGCTTTTATAGTCACAGTAGGAACCTGAAAGAGAAAGTGAAACTAATGCCTGCAGGTTTCTCCTCAGGAAAACTGAGGGCAAACAGGTGTGGGCCTTCTGCTCAGTCCTATGAACCAATAGGAAGAGGGAATCTGGAACAGACTGACATGTCATTTACATACAGTTGTCCAGAGAGAGAGAGATCCCTGGCACCAGGCCATGATGTTAGGATGTTGATGGAGGTGATGTGGCGATAAAGACCCATCCTGGCATCTCCACAAGCATCATAGTTCCTCAGTCAAAAGAACTGCACTTCTGCACTGTCTCCTTGGACCTGAACCACACTCATGGATTTGATGGCATGGCAGATGGGAATTTTGAGGATGGAGGTGTCCATATGCAGGTGAGATTTCCCACAGTCTGGAAGGGGCACACCCCAGCTGGTGTGGTGTGTGGCTGTCCTTAGGAACTACTGCAGGTATCATCATTCAAGTCCTCTTCCCTCTGCAGAGCTTCTCAGTCTCCCTGAGGCTTTAGGAGTTTACCCTTCATTAACTAGGCCAATTTCCCAGAGCTTACAGTCATGGAGTCTTGCTTTCTGTTACCTTCTCCTGAGGTGTCTGTTTATTAAGGACTCTTGCTTACAGTCACAGCTGAATAAACAAGAGCCAAGCATGGAATCTCTAGAGAATGCTGTATTCACAGCTTTGATGCTATCCTATGCTAAAGGCTGAGACCAGTGTAGGAAACTGCAGAAGGTGGGGCTCAGATTGGTCCAGACCATGGTCAAGTCCCTTAGTCTGTTGTCTTGTGCACTTGGTAACCTACTTTCACAGCCTTATTATCTGCTTGCTTAGACTGGCCATTCATTGCTGTGTCCCCAAATATAGCTCATCCTTCACTCTTCCAAATATAAAAAAAAAATCACTGAAAGAGTCTCAAATATCTAACTCCATATCCTTGATAGAATGATAAACTCTCCTGAAAGTTGCCCTGACCAGAGAGTTTTTTTCCCTAAACCTTAATCAGCTGACACCAGCAGGAGATGGGGGCTCCTTGACCACTTTCCCAGTGAAGTTTAATTATGAAGAAGATGGAGGAATATGTCTGTGTGGTGGTTAGGTGTGTGACACAGTTTAAATGCTTTTTTATAAACTCTGCCTCCTGGGATCAGTCACCAGAATGATTGGTGTAGAGAGAATTAAATCTGTAGGGTTATACTGTGACCTTCACAATATGTCATGACACATTTGCTGAGGGCCATGGCTGTATATGACAGGTGACAACCAGTGTTTGACAAGCCGACCCACCAGATGTGTAAGTCCCTAATGGGGAGTCTCACCGGGCAAACCGTGAGTTCACTGACTGTGGAAACAGGTTGTTTTCTGTCTGTAAATTTCCTGAGTACCACAGGTATGCATCCCTAATAAGTAGAGCTGTGGAGTGCTTTCCATGGTGCTTTGGTAGTGTGTTTTACATTTCTGGACACACATTTAGCTGTGAATTTGTGTTTAAGCTGTATACTTCTGATGAACAAAAATATTACCAGAGTATTCTTCTTACTGACACAGGAAAGTAACAGTGTTCTGTATCCATGACAGCCTCTAACTCCTTGTCCAAGACTTTAGAACAAGTTCAAAACAGACTAAGCTGCTCCTACAGAGAATACACAAAGACTAAATTCAAGTGTTGTTTTTGCCACATCAAGACCAGGCTGTTTACATCAAGATAGAATCTTGTAGTGGCTCCATTTCTTCATGTCCCCTGGCCACACAGGGTTCAGCCAAACGTTTAATGTCTGGGATACCTCACCAACTTAGAGCTGTGTTTATGGGTCAATGTGACATTACTATCCTAAGAGAAGCTATGTGACTTATCTGTGCTGTGAGAATGGGTGAGGCCCTGAAAATGTAACTTACACTTCACAAAGGTTGGTTGTGGAACAGCAGCAGCAGCAGTGATGTAGGAAAAGATGGCAGTGTACAGCTATGTGACACCTGGTGTAGAATGTGAGTGAAGTGTGTGTGTGTGTGTGTGTGTGTGTGTGTGTGTGTGTGTGTGTGTGTGTGCTGAGAGTGAGGAAGATTCGTGAAGAAAGTGTGATGGAGTGAGTGGGTGAAAGAGTGAGTAAACAGTGAGTGTATAACCTGTCAGAAGTCTGTGTGTGAGTGAGTGTGAGAGAGAGCTGTGTGAAGGAGCTGCTGCTATGTAGAGGAGCTGTGCCTAGGAACTGTGTAAAGGGCTGTCTGGGGAGAGAGCTGTGTAAATGAGAT